CATAGGACGTGGCAGTATCTCATGACATCACCTCCACAGCCCACCCGAAAACTTCAGCCCTAGGAGACCCTATTGCCAGCATTCGATCAGAGACTTAAGGGAAGGCTGCCTTGCTCCTTCCTGGTAGATTTGCACCTTGCCAACTCCCTCCCCGACCCGGGCTGGTAATTTTCGACTCCTCCTCCGCCTCTTGGACCTCTGAGGTATCCCCTCCCCCCCCCCCCTGCTCCTCATTGTAAACCTCCCGAGGCTAAGGTAAAACAACACAGGGGCTCTAAACACAGAGCTGCGGCTTAAACTGACTGCAGACTGGGAAAAGTGTCCCAGCTTTCTGAAAGGACCTTCGGCTGAGTTTGATGAATTACAACAGCTAGATGTGGCTATCTTGCTCCAGGGTTTTCTGAGAGCTGGGTCTGCAAGGTGGGTGCAATTTGAGAGCTCTGGGAGCAGAACTGGAAGATTTCAGCCTAAGCACCGAGTCTACGAAGCTCCTCTACCGCGAAGGCTCCCTCTATATCCATTAGCCTGCATAGGATACACTTAGTGAAAGTTTTGTCAAAGGTAGGGTTCTGGGCTGACTTGGGCCAAACCTTTTAGTGCATTGTGATCGCTGGTTCCAACCTAGGGTCCCAGGCAGAACTCAGTTAAAATTTGCCTTGATCATTCAGTAGTTAGGGAGAGGAGAATTTCATTTGAAAACGAAAATCGGCTGCTGCCCCGATTTTGAGAAAATGGCAAATACCTGCAGAGGCACGATTTGTAAAGGAGGTGGCAAATCTCCGTACTCGCTTGACCCAGCCCTTCACAGCAATCTGCCTCGTAGCATCAGGCTCAGGACTGACCTGGGGATTGCTGCTTCCCTGATGCAGGGAATGTGCAATTCTATCTCGGGCTGAGAACCGAGCATCAGACCGCACAGACTGCCTTTGGAGCTGGCGTCTGCCAGCCAAGAATCCCGATCAAGGGACGCTAATGACAGAAAACACCCACCTGAACTAGGAAATGCAGGCTAGGAACCTCTGCCTGGAGACAGGTTCTGGCTAATTCATCCGGATTGTTTTAACAGGTTAATAAAGTAATTGGCACTCAACACAACTACATTCTCAGTAGGAGTCCTAGGCGATAAGATGCGAACCACAGTGAAGGTTTGCTACTGTTCACAGCAGCCTTTATTGTTCTTGAATTTTTTTTCTTAGCAAAATAATGAAAAGGGAGAAATAAAGGGGTAATCGCCTCTCTCTCTCTCTCTCTCTCTCTCTCTCTCTCTCTCTCTCTCTCTCTCTCTCTCTCTCTCTCTCTCTCTCTCTCTCTCTCTCCTGTGAAATCAGAGAAGTCTCTCCCCAGACTCCCAACAAGCCACAGGCAACTGGAAGAGAAATAAATTAGCCTTAAACACCCACATCCTGCTCCCCATGGAACATAAGTGCTAATCCTGACTCCTTTAAAGGGCATATTGTTTTGTCTGATCTTTGGACAGGATTGAAGATACCAGTGGTTCATATAACTTTATTCTATGTGATTACAGACTACTTGGGAAAATAAAAAGAAATGGGATACAAACACAAGCATTCCATGTCTTTTTCAGTACTGAATAAAGTTGCCCATGTTCCATTCTGACCCCTAGATTATGTATTTATGAAGGTGAATTATGTATTTCCTTTGGTTGCATTTTTTTCATTTGAATACATTACTCATTAAAATGAGTAATGGCAGCCTACTTGTTCTACTAGTTCAAACCAAATTCCGGTTCATGGTTCCTGAGAATAAATAAGTGAACATATTCATGGCTTAAAGAAAATCATCAATGCTCCACCCCACCATGCCCAATATTTCTTAGATGGGAAAGCACAGCTTTTCTTGCTGTACAGACTTCTCAAAGCAACACTTAGGATTCACATGTATCTGCTAGACATTAGAGAATAACTAAGTTCTAAAGGTGATTTTTTTCTTATCAATTGCAATCAGAACATATTTAGAGTTTTGGAAAATTGTGTGATTTCATGATGTTCAGGGTTTTGTGTTTGGCTTTAGATATAATGAGGAATGTTTCCTTTTTAATCGAAGCAGAAAAAGGAAGCAGCAGCCACCAAACAAAGCCATCCTAAGTGAACCACCAGGGAGAATAGGGGTAACAACCACACTCCAGGAAGTGTGTTCAGGGCATATGGGCAGGCAGCACAGACTGGAGAGGAACTTATTACATCTTAGCATCGCTATTATATGGAGGCATGGGAATTTTCTATGGGGGTTGGGAAGGTGAAGATATCATCTCTGCACTTCACTCACTATTCCATTTTCAAAATGAAGAAGCTGCAACTACAGATTCACACCCCTGCTGTTCTGAAGGATATATATTTGACCTGAGAACGTACAAAGGTCAAAAACAGTCTAATTTTGACAGGAGAGTGTCCAATCCCCCATTGAACACAAGAGGTCGCTCCTGCAATCAAGTGCTCAGGAAAAATATTGCTAATCACTTTTATGTAATCAGTTTTATGTATTCTATAAAAACACTGACAACTTCACAGATATGTTTGATGTGTTAAATAGACATACAGCAATCAACTAAGGGAGAAGGGAAAATCTGGGTCAAATGAAAACCACCAGGTAAAGGGAAACATGTTGTTTGCTGCAGGAACTTTGATTTTTTTTAATGCAAATTGTATCATCACAGACACACAGTTCTACAGAGCACATGCACCATGGGACTTTATTATTACTTTGCTACGTCAAGTTTCTCCCTTCAAGGTGACTGACTATCTTCTTCATGGATCCTGTCTTTCCTCAGTCTAAGAACTAAGAAAATGATTGTTTTGCAATAAAGTCCTGAGCTAAGAAAAAGAAAACAAGCCTTCCTCAACACTGTGGTAGAACTGCTCACACTGCAAGTTTGATCCCAACCTATATGGTAGATTTTCTACATGGAATTGCTATCGACAAGGATTCTTTGTAATAACGCATTGTTTAGAGGAATTAAAACACCATCATTTGTGTATATAAACGCCCATGTGTGCTTGGAAGGATGACTGCTGTGCTTCTTTTAAGTGCCAGGTTAAAAACGTGGGGTGAGGAAACATAATTAGTTCGGATTCCCTATTTATCTTTGGTGCTATTTGTTGTTGCTTTGAAACTAGGGTCAGCTTGGTTATACCATGTCCCTGTACTGGGAGAACTTGCTTCATGGGAGACTACCGGCATTGACTCTGCAAAGGCAGCTTGACAAAAGACTCTACACACAGGATACCAGAGATCAGAAATGTTAAAATGAAACACAACTGGTAAATGTAACCTATGCCGATGCAACTCTGAATCCTGCTCACCCACTTGGAAGTAATTTATAAAAATGAAATTGAAAAAAAAAACAACCAAACAAACAAACACGGAGGGAAGCAACCCCATGGGCCCTCTCCTGAAAGAAAACCAAGCAAAATAAGACTGGAGTTCTTGGTAAAGTCTCCACAGGGTCGGGGGGGGGGGGAGGGGGGCACTCATGCTTTTTAACTGCTTTTTCTGTGTGACTGTGTACACTGAAAACTCACAAGCCTTCCAGTTCAGCCACTAAGGCCTAGGTAGGGTTCACAGGCTTTTTTTTTTTTTTTAATCAAGGGTTAGATCTGGGGAAATATACGAACGAAGAAAGGTTTCCTAACCCCCTGGGTCTTCTCGGGGGGCAACAAGACACCAAATGAAACCTTCTACGTTTGTGTTTGCATACTCCTCCCAGCTTTTTTGTTGATAAAACCATCTCTGTAGATAAGAAATGGCTGGTGTAGAAGCTCTGGGGGAAGTGTTGGGATTCTGCGAGACCCTAATAACTGTCTTTAAAAGACTGAGAGATTTGGGGAATGTCGAAAAAAATTATTGGCAAAAGTTACCGGTGAGATGTGGCCAACATCTCTTCCAGATGGCTTCCCCGGAGGAAACGAATTAGAAAAGTTAACCTCTGTGAAGGGGAGTAGGCAACCCACTCTACTTTTGCAACAGACCCTCCCTGCTCACGCCTTCAGATGTACAGATTTAAAATAATCTCTGGAGAGTCGAGTAAAGTTGCGCTTATAATTATCGACATATCAGAGGGCTGGGTGCACCTTTGCTTTTAAAAAGAGTGGACAAGAGACCCATAGAGAGACCAAGAGCGCTCTGTACTGCGCTGTGACTCTACGTTAGTACACTCTTCATGCTAAAGTTAAATAGAATATTAGACCTCACTGGAAGGGAGGAAAGGAGCAGACCACGGAGTTAACTTCATATTACCTTTGCGTTTCCAACCCGATTGTCCGCTAGGGTGAGAAGCGCCCCTTTCCTCCCACCCCAAGTCTTTGGAGAGCTGAGATTGCAAAGTGACGGGGTCAACAGGGTCTCTGTAAAAAACAAAAACAAAAACAAAACAAAAAATCTCCCCCCCAGATCATAAAAACCATTTCTCCTGGGTCTAGCAGTCCCGTTCCGGGTTGGTCCCCTAGAGCGCCACGGGCTGCCAGCTCCAAGAGACGCACCCTTCCCGGAGGCGGCTTAGCCGCCCAAGCCCAGGGCTGTGCTCGCCAACGTGGGAGCCAAGGGAGGAAAACGGCCGGTTCCAAGTTTCCCTTCCTTTTCCTACCGCCCGGGAGAGACCGGGTTCACAGGAAAGACCTACCCACCAGCCACTGGCCACCGGCGGCAGAAAAGCGAGCCCCGCGCTCAGCGCAGCCAGCGGATCGCGGGGACCCGGGGAGCGCGGGGCTCAGGAGCTGCATGACAGGACGCGGCGCGGCCGGGAAGAAGCGGGTAAGGGGCGTAGGACAAGGAGGAGGAGGAGGCCCCGGGCTAGGGCCACCCGGAGCCTGGGGAGCGACGTGGCCTCGGGAGGTCTAATCCTCTCCCGCGGGCTCGCAGAGCGGGCAGTGGCGCTCGGCGACGCCGGGGCTGAAATATGATAATCAGAACAGCTGCGCCGCGCGCCCCGCAGCCAATGGGCGAGCCGCTCGCCTGACGTCCCCGCGCACTGCGTCAGACCAATGGCGATGGAGCTGAGTTGGAGCTGAGAAGTTTGAGTAAGAGATAAGGAAGAGAGGTGCCCGGAGCCGCTCGAGTCCGCCGCCGCCGCAGCGCCTCTGCTCCGCCAACTCCGCCGCCTTAAATCGGACTCCCGGATCGGCAAGGGCGCGGCGCAGCGGGTCAGCGGCTCCCTCAGCCTTGGCAACCCCGGGGGCCACTGTTTCCCACCTAGCCACAGCACCAGCATCCTCTCTGTGGGCTGTTCTCCAACTGTCCAACCACCATTTCACTGTGGACATTACTCCCTCTTACAGATATGGGAGACATGGGCGATCCACCAAAAAGTAAGAGGTTGTTTTACCTTGCGGGGCTCGTTGTGCTGTTGTGGTGCGGGGGTTCTCTCTCGGGCACTGGTGCCAGGCCTCTTTGGATTTGTAGTCACTGCCTGGAGAAACGGAAGAAATGGTGATTCTTTTTTTTTTTGATGTTATTGTTTTGTTTTCTGTGTTTTTATCCTCCCCCCCCCCCCCCCGTCGCCACGCTTGCATGTTTGATGCGGATTCCGATCTTCGGGAAACTGAGCATACCTTGTGTTTGAATCTGCCTGGATGCCCTCCCAAACTCTAGCCGCCTGATGTCTAGCGGTGATTTTCTTCTCCGGAATCTGGAGTTCTTGGAGAAGGTTATTATGTAGCAAAGGTCTGCCTGCACAAACCACACCGGCAGATATGAATTAGCATTAGACTTGCAAAAGAGAGCGAGTGACAACTGTATTGATGTCTACTCTTCTAACAATATCCATCCCTTGTGCTATTGAAGTACGTGCTTCACGGAAAATATAGACATCCCAGCGTTGGTTTAACGCTTCTAGTCAAAACCTTTTCTTTGACTTGACTTATCCATAATCTTGCCTAATGATTATAGCAAAGAGGGAGGAGGGGAGAAAACACAAAATGAGCGGGTTTGATTGCGTGCTAAGCTTACAAATGTAGACTATTCAAATCTGCATTTTATATGTATTCCACCTCCCTTTTTTAAAAAAGCGAGTCAAGGTTTTGATGGCACACTCCAATTACCATCCCAAAGTGCAATACTCTTTAAGAAAAAAAAAAGGAAAGAAAAAATTCTTCCAGAGTACGCCCTATAAGAGAACGACACTAAAAGTGTGTTTATCTCTGTAGGAAGTAAACGGTTAGTCAATCATGTATTTATTTTCATTTCAGAAAAACGTCTGATTTCCCTATGTGTTGGTTGCGGCAATCAAATTCACGATCAGTATATTCTGAGGGTTTCTCCGGATTTGGAATGGCATGCGGCATGTTTGAAATGTGCGGAGTGTAATCAGTATTTGGACGAGAGCTGTACTTGCTTTGTTAGGGATGGAAAAACCTACTGTAAAAGAGATTATATCAGGTATGCCATTTTCACGTCGTTATTTTTCAGAGATTTCCGTGTCTCTCCTTGTTTATTATTTTATGTGGCTTTGTCTTTCTTTTGGGGCGTTTTGCTTTAGAGGGTTCAGTGTGCAAAAGTGTTTCAAAATTAAACTGTTGTTCTCTGGGGGTGGGGAGCGGTCACTGTAGCTTTCATAAATTTTGTTGTTAGGGTTTGTTAATGACTCTTGTAATTTTTTGATGAGGAAATTACTTTACTTTTTTTATACTTTTCTTCCGAGAACACCAACAAAATTAAGGCCAATAAGTTTAGGTTTTAAAACTTTAAAAAATCTATTTGCGTTCTATAGATTAGCAGCTGATTTGCTCTTCTCTGCTTTATTGCTGACTTAGGACAGTCTTTGGAGGTGCCGTGAAACAGACAAATGTTTCAGTAAAGGGTTTTTGAAAAACAAGTACAACCACTAAACTCTTTTACTTTCTGAATGAGTCCTCCTTGGTAGAAAACCAACTAAAATATTCCTTACAAAAGAGGAAAAGAGGACCGGAAATTTAATCTTTTTAAATATTAACCCTTTGGTGATATCTAACTGTCTTTTCTTTCTTATCTTATCTGGGCTGATGAATTAGACAGAGCAGATCAAATTGCCCATCATCTGTCTGTGAACAATTGGTATATTTAGGTAATTGAACAGCTTCCTTTCTCACATTAAAATCTAGTAACTGATAAAATGAGGCACTCACCCCACGGGACAAGACCAAACCCACAGAGAAGCTGGACTTGCTTTCCTTGCATGGTTTTGCTGTTTCCAAGTTTCCTCTGACCTGTGTGTCTACATCAGAAATTCCACTCTGTACCTTGGAAAGCCAGGAGAATTTCTAAAGGAAACAGTGTTGGTTCTAACACAAAGCAAGATAGTGAGTCCTTCCTCAGCTTCACTGTTACGGCCTTGATAGCAGAAATACAGCCGCTTTTAAATTCGGAAGTGGTTTCTCACAAGCGAGTGGCCTTCCTTGGCTGTAAGGGGCTTTGCAGCTTGGGAAGTTTCATTACAGTTTAGTTATGATTTCAAATATGGTCACCGCTTTTTTCTTCTGCTCCCACAATGCCCGGTTTTGTTTTTTTGTTTTTATTTTAATCTCAGAGTGGAGGGTATACAACTTGATAGATAAAACTAAGCCATGTCAGTCCTCGGGAGGGAGGGTTTTGTTTGCTTTTTTCCTTTGGTTTTAGTACTTTGAGGAGAGTGGGAGGAAGTGGGATGCAGGAAAGGGGAGGGATTTGGTGAATGGTTTGGGTGCAGGCAAAATAAGTCTTCATCCTATAAAATGGGTGCCCTTGCATTGGAGAGGCAGACAGAAAAAAATTTCAAATCTGCCTTCTAGTCAAATAAGCCGTCTTCATTGTTTACTTCACTGGACTGTACACTCAGGATTCTGGAGAGAGCGAGAGCCCACTTCGACCCTCAAAGCATCCTTACTCCTTACTCCTCAGGAGACGCTGTTATGCTCAGTTGTACATAAATCTGTCTAATTCTAGATGTGTCTATTTGCAGATTCGATTGCAACTCAATTGCTTTTACTTTTCTCCAGTTAGTCTCCTCTCTCTCTCTCTCTCTCTCTCTCTCTCTCTCTCTCTCTCTCTCTCTCTCTCTTTCGTGTGTGTGTGTGTGTGTGTGTGTGTGTGTGTGTGTGTGTTTCCATAAGGGAACACTCACACTCATGCATAACCCCCTTGGAGGTTCTGTAGTTGTAAAAGCAGGGTGACATGACCATTTTGACTTTAAGCTCTCCCCTTGAGGGAACAATATGCCCCCCTCCTTTGTGTGAATACCGTCCTATCTCTTCGACTCTCTATGTAGTAATAACTGATAGGTAAGTGGGAACCAGGCAATGCAACAGTAGATGGAGAGAACCTATAGAGACTGAGGGGTGGTAAGGAAAGGTTAGCAAGGAGGAAGATCTTAGAAGTGAGGTTTGTTGTTTGTTTGTTTCATTGGTTGGTTGTTTGTTTTTTCATTTGTCATGCTAGCCTTGGCTCTCAGGTTAGCCGAAATAGAGGTCGATTCTTCGGGAACCTAAGAAAAACTGACTGAGGGAACAGAAGCTGTTTTTCGTTTCATTTTGTTTTGTTTTAAAATAAAAGAGGAAGAATGGAGAGGGAGCGTTCCATTAACGTGTGGCCTGTGGAAAATCTTTAGTTGGATAAATACTGGAAGGCTTTGGCAATAGGAATTTGGAAACCCTCTAAATCTTCGTTTTGTTATTCTGATCTGTAATTGTGTGTCCATAGTTGGAGTAGGGGTGACAGTCCCCAACCCAACGTTTTATGTTGTTGCAATTTCAGAAATGGTTTTAGTAGTAAAAATTGGGGGGGGGATAGCTTTTGGCTACTAGCCATCAATGTCCCCTGTATTCCTCCTAGCTAGAATTTGCAAGAAAAACCCTGGGACTGGTTACCAGAGCCCACCTCCAGGTTTAGAATGCCCCAATAAATTTTCCCTGAGTTGCCTGTCTGAACTAAGAGGTACGAATTGAGACAGACATGGAGGTTCCCATAAAGGTTCCTCTTGTCAAATAGAGGGCGTTAAAGGGGGGAAGGAAGAGGGGAGGAAAAGAGAGGGAGGAAGGGAGGGAGAGAGAGGTGAAGAGAGATTGTTTCTATACTTAGTCCAACTTTACTACTACTGATATTCCCCCCAGGGCAGGTCAGGACTTATGGCCTGGTTTGCTGGCCACCTAGGGCCAGTGCCTGCCCAAAGTCACCCTCTTTCTCTGTGCCTTTCTTCCCATGCCGGGGCCGGTCCATGCAGGTTGTATGGGATCAAATGCGCCAAATGCAGCATTGGCTTCAGCAAGAACGACTTCGTGATGCGTGCCCGCTCCAAGGTGTACCACATCGAGTGTTTCCGCTGTGTAGCCTGCAGCAGGCAGCTCATCCCGGGAGACGAATTCGCGCTGCGGGAGGATGGGCTTTTCTGCCGCGCGGATCACGATGTGGTGGAGAGAGCCAGCCTGGGAGCTGGAGACCCTCTCAGTCCCTTGCATCCTGCGCGGCCCCTGCAAATGGCAGGTACTTCTCAACCCTCAGGGAACCTAGCTGGGAAAAGACTGGTGGGGCTATGTCAAAACCCTCCCTTCCTATAACCTGGGGGCCACAGGGTGGTTCTGAAAGTGGCCTGCAATAAACAACATGTGCTCTACCTCTTTCCAGCAAGTCCACACACTCTCGTCTACCTTGAACGTACAAGCACGCATCTACACATCTACATGTCTGTCTATCTATGGGTACACGGCATACCCCACTTGTGCACACATGTATACACAAGCCCAAACAGTACTGTCAGCTTTACTTTGGCCTCCAACCCATGGCTTACTGAAAATGGGCTTCAGCTCTCTGCCAGGTTTTCTCCTAGCTGCTGCCTAATTAAAGGGGTGGAGTCCTGGGTCTCCAGGAGTTTCCTCCCTAGCCCCGGGAAGGAAGCTTAAGCAGCCCCAAGGCTTTTAGCTTCCCTGCCTTCTTCTTTCCCTCCGTGAGATTTACTCTCCAATCCAAAGGGTTTTTACATTTTATTTTTATGCTTTTGTCAGAAAGCAGATCCCTAAAAGATACAGTGTCGGCAACTGCAGTACTGCACAAGGCTGTAACTTAAAACTGTCAACAGCCTAATCTGCAGTAATTGCCTTTTAAAAGGAGCCTGCCTCTTTAAGCCATCCATTCTATGTGATTTGGTGAGAATTTCACCTCCAAGCCTGTAGCTGTAGCTCTGAATTGACCCCATAGGTGTTGGGCCTGATCCCATGGGGTCCTAGAAGGTGTGGGTTTGTACCATCTACATCAGAGGACCAATTGCCCACAAAGGAAAGTGGAAATATAAAGGTTGGCTAGAGCCTAGGCAGTGAGACAGCAGGACTTTGTTTCCTACCTGCCTTCCAGTCCAGTCCGAGGCAGAGCTCCCTCCCTCGCATTTAGTACTAAGTCATTGACCCCTACTAAATACTAGAGGTGAAGAAATGACAACTCTCCCCCAACCCCCAGTCACCCCTTTCAGGCTGCTCTGAGAATTCTGTCTTGGGAGATTTCTTAAGCAGAGAAGCAGAAGAGGCCGAAATCCTGGGAGGCGAAGGACGGACATTCTCCAGCAGTCATTTATCTCAAGCCTAGAGAGTTCAACAGTTTCCGTTTTCATATGCTGCTCTCAGGAACATCCCACGCCAATTTAATACTAAGAAAGGCAGGCACATTTGAATAGCCAGAATACAGGAAAAAATTGTTTAGCTTCTGAGTATGACTATCCCATGAAATCAAAGTTCAAGGCTTTCTGGCAGAATTATCTGACTTTCGGTGGCAGACATCCAGCCTTGTAGTGTCTCCGGTTGTCACTGGGGTGTTCTGCATTTTATTTTCAGGTACCCACTATGGTTTTTACCCAAAAGGAAAAGCCGAGACTGGATGTGGGGGTAGTCGGGATAATCTGTGTCTTTCTGGTTATGAGGAAAAGGGAGGGAATGTACTGGTTTAAAAAGATGTCTCTGATGCGGGTAGTGACACCACCCACCGGGCTTCCTTTGGCTAATTCTGTAGGGGACACAAGTAGAGCAGGGGCTGCATCTTTCCCTTCCCCCATCAAGTCTGCATTGTCCTCTATAGATGAAGGAGCGAGATTTCTTTTTCCCTCCTTACCCTCCTTCAGAGCTTCTTCGCGGTGTGCTGAGCTCGAGCTGGGGTGGGGAGTGGAGAGGGCTGATGGCGTGCTCACAAAGCTCCTTTGCCCCATAGCCGAGCCCATCTCCGCTAGGCAGCCAGCCCTGCGGCCTCACGTCCACAAGCAGCCTGAGAAGACCACCCGCGTGCGGACTGTGCTCAACGAGAAGCAGCTGCACACCTTGCGGACTTGCTACGCCGCCAACCCTCGGCCAGATGCGCTCATGAAGGAGCAACTAGTGGAGATGACCGGCCTCAGCCCCCGAGTGATCCGAGTCTGGTTTCAAAACAAGAGGTGCAAGGACAAGAAGCGCAGCATCATGATGAAGCAGCTCCAACAGCAGCAGCCCAACGACAAAACTGTGAGTAGCCCTGGAGGCCAAGCAAGGGGTGGAGGCGGGGTGGTAGGGCAACTTAGAAGATCGGGCCGGTATGCATAAACTGATGGATTGGTACCCAGCGGAGCACAAACCAGCAGCCCAGACAAAGGACATCCTCTCACCTCCACCTAAACTCAGCTGTAGAGTACATGGGCTGCTGAGGGCTGAAAACTGGCTGGTTAGAAACTGCACAGGTCTGAGCAGCGCCCCAGTCCATTGCTGGTTCCAAAAGCAGCCCATGGTATTCACATCAACTGCACATAGAACCAAAAGGACCTAGTGATTCCCTCCCGGTATAGGTGGCATTGAGGTCTTAGCTCAGGTTTTACCAGCACTGGGGTCTTTAGCATTGCCAGGACTGTAAAGGACAACACTTTGGGGGTTGATCTAGAACATGATTTAATGGGCTTACCAGCAGGCCAGCAATTCTGGTCCCATCCCAACACAAGGAGAGGCCTGCCACTGTTCTTGATGCAGATGTGGGAATCCTTCAAGACTCCCATGCAGATGATCCACTACACCAGGTGGGGCCCAAAGCTTCCTTCCAACCTTTGGCACTAATATTTTGGGCAGGACTCCCCTTTCTCCCCCACCCCTTGCTTAACGTAAGCTTAAGCGTTTCTTTCTCATTTCTCCCTTTTTACTACTCCAACCCTATTTTTAAATGCCATAAAATCTGTTGTCATTAAACTTGGCAGGCAGGCCAGGATGGAGCAAGGGTACTCAGTGCATAAATGAGCAGAAGCAGCCACCCTCAAAAGCCTTGGGAGTGGGGTCTGGCTCTGCAAGGAAGAGTACTTGGAGAAAATCTTCATCTAGCCCAAACTACCTAGAAAACTAGTGTCAGAAGTCTGGTGGAGGCCTGGCTGGACCTCAGCTTTCTACTTCTGGGAGGCTGTGACCTATAAAGGCAGACAGGAGGGGTTGGTGGATAAGTTGTGAAAGTAAAGGGAAAAATGATAATTGTAGTCGAATTGTTTTAGTAAGATCCCAGTCAGTCTAATAATTCAGCACACAGAAGCAGAAAAATAAAACTGAACTCTAACTAATATCCATAGGTGCAGCAGATTAACTGTGTCAATACTGGGCCACTATATAGATAAGATAATACTTGGGCATATTTGTTTAACCCATGCAGACAATGGAGGGAGGCAGTTTGCTCATTAACGTGGCGATGGGGGGGGCGTTATTCACAGAACATCCAAGGGATGACAGGAACTCCCATGGTGGCTGCTAGTCCGGAGAGACATGATGGTGGTTTACAGGCTAACCCAGTAGAGGTGCAAAGTTACCAACCGCCCTGGAAAGTACTGAGCGACTTCGCCTTGCAGAGTGACATAGATCAGCCGGCTTTTCAGCAACTGGTAAGTGTCAACTCCCAAACTGAGAGAGGCTGAATTCCCAACAGAATGGAGATTCTGATTTAAAAGTCACACACTGACAGATCAGCTGGGGGAGGGTGCTCCCTGTGCCAGTGTTGGAGAGAAAGCAAGGAGGAATGGTGGCCAAAGAGGGAAGCACTTACAAAGAAAGTAGCTCTCTGGTGAATCTTTGTTTAAAAATGAGACAGCAGAATATAAGTATATGGGGGGTGTTCCTACAAATGAGCCATGTCTTGTGGGATGAACTTAGTGGTGCCTAAGTAGTTATGTGTGCAGAGGTACAAATAGTGGCAATATCACACACCTTGGCATTTGGATCAGCAATCAGTAAGTTTATTGTTCTACCTGCATCTAGTGATAGGTTCAAGTAAAAGTAAACGCAGGTTGTTATACATTCAATGTAATAATATAGAACGATGTTATCCATAAGCAGCACAAGATTTTCATACATGTCAATAAATACAATGTTTATTCAAATATATTGGTTGATGTTTACTGTTGCCATGTTTCTTTCAAAGGATATTCTAATCTAATCCACAGGACTTCTTAAACATTTTTAAATAAATGAGTTTCGATAGGATAAAATTACATACCAAAAGGAACATGAGCATTGTCAGAGACAATATATATTTAACTTGTGGAAATCTGTCTTAGCAACTTATTGTTTTACACACCCACCAAAAGAAGACAATTAATTCATTTTTGCATATAAAAGGTTAAGATACACAAAAATGTTAAAACTATAACCTTTTCAGTATGGCATAAATACTTCAGGTTTTTTTCTCCCCTTAAAATATAATGAGTCCCATAGATCCTGTTTTATTGAACAGGAAGCTGCATCCTAAGACACCCCTTTCTTTAGAAACAAAGCTAATGGTCAGTTGAGGATAGGTTTTTTTCGTTGTGTTCCCCCCCACAAGTCTGTGCCCTGAGGGCATTTGCTTTCTCTTGTCAACAGTTATAAGGGTGATTGGCCAGAGGCAAGTGGTTAAAAGGGTTTGGTTCCAGGCTGTGCCAGTAAATAAATGGGCCAGTCTAGTAAGCAGACAAGTTTGAGAAGTCCCTTGACCTCTCAAGGGAGAAGGTTTAATAGACAGAGAGGAGGAAAAAAGGAGATAAACTCTGGAACTAGAGTGGAAATTTTATTTTAAATAAAATAAGCTGTCCCTATGCAGCATTGTCTGGGCAAATTTTGAATAATAGATCAGACAGTAGAGAGAGGCTTCAAGACAAACAAGATTTGGTACCTCCTGAAACTTGAGTGTCAGGTGAGAGAGCAGTAGAGTGGAATCTGAGGCAGCTTGGGAGGGGGGGTTGCAGAGAAGTGAGTACCAAATGTCTATAAGGTGATGAGGCATAGTTTATGGGTCCCCTCATGCAAAGGGGAGGGGGGCAACAGGACTACACTGTGAGACCTCTAAAGAGTTAATCATTGTTCCAGGGAGCCTCACTGAATCTCCAGCCACACTGAAAAATAAAGGCTTTGATGTCTAGAGAACTTTCCTACTCCCAGGGCTACATGTAGCCAGCAGGCTAATTTTATTTTGAGCCTTCGTGGGAGAGTTGTGATGCCACTTTACAGTGGGAAACACATTTGCTCTTAAATAATTTAATATGACATAATGTTGGGAATTCAGCTTGAGTTCAAAGAGAGATCTTTAGAAAGATGGAGAAAGTGAGAGGATTTCAAGTGCTTCTCATAGGCCTCCTTTAAGCCTGTTAAAGTTCCATTATAGACACGGATATCTTTGTTGATGTACCTGTCTATTTACAGGAACCTGCATGTGCATGCACAGTATAACACTTTTATATTTCTGATGGACACTACTGAAGCCTCCTTTATTCACTTCTCAACCTTCCATGCAGGTCAATTTTTCAGAAGGAGGACCAGGCTCTAATTCCACTGGCAGTGAAGTGGCATCGATGTCCTCTCAGCTCCCAGATACACCCAACAGCATGGTAGCCAGTCCTATTGAGGCATGAGGACTGTTCATTCAGATCTATTTCTTTTCCCTGTTGGAGAAAGTGGGAAGTTATGTTGAACTCCGAAATAAAAGTATTTAACGACCCAGTCAAAGAAAACTGAATCAAGAAACGAACGCTCCATGAAGTGCACGAAGTCTGTTTTAATGACAAGGTGATATGGTAGCAACACTGTGAAGACAATCATGGGATTTTACTAGAATTAAAAAACAAACAAAACCCCAAGCCCAACATATGCTATTCAAATGACCTTAGGAGTACTGAAAAAGAATAATAATAAAAGACGTTTTTAAAACGTAGAGGATTTATATTCAAGGATCTCAAAAAAAAAGCATTTTCATTTCACTGCACATCTAGAGGAAAAGCAGAAATAGAAAATTTTCTAGTCCACCCTATTCTGAATGGTGCTGTTTCTATATTGGTCATTGCCTTGCCAAACAGGAGCTCCAGCACAGAGCTGAAGAAACTGGCCTCAGTGGCTGAAAGAGTACTTTCAGGAAGGCGGAGCTACGTTGGGTTGGTTTGCTATGCTTTTAGTTGATGTTGACAAGGGGTTAATTGAAATTCTGGGTCTCTCTAGCATGCCCTGTAGCCGGTTTCTCTATTACTTTTGCCTTTTCTCCTATTTTCCCTTTCTTTTTCTTTATTTCTTTCCTTTTTTAATTTTTAAAAAAAATTTTTTGAGATCCATCCTCTATCAAGAAGTCTGAAGCGACTTTAAAGGTTTTTGAATTCAGATTTGAAAACCAACTTACAAAGCATTGCAACAAGGTTACCTCTATTTTGCCACAAGCGTCTCGGGATTGTGTTTGACTTGTGTCTGTCCAAGAACTTTCCCCCCAAAGATGTGTATAGTTATTGGTTAAAAATGACTGTTTTCGCTCTTTCTGGAAATAAAGAGGAAAAAAGGAAACTTTTTTTGTTTGCTCTTGCATTGCAAAAATTATAAAGTAATTTATTATTTATTGTCAGGAGACTTGCCACTTTTCATGTCATTTGACATTTTTTGTTTGCTGAAGTAAAAAAAAAGATAAAGGTTGTACCGTGGTCTTTGAATTATATGTCTAATTTTATGTGTTTTGTCTTTTTTCTTAAATATTATGTGAAATCAAAGCGCCATATGTAGAATTATATCTTCAGGACTATTTCACTAATAAACGTTTGGCATAGATAAATAAATAAATGCAATGATTCAGGGTCCCTCTTTTATATGTTTATTAGCAAGTCTTTAACATGTTTGAAATGAAGGGTTGCATGTGACTTGGGTTAAAATGACATACAGTACAGTAACTGTGATATTGTATTGCAAGTAGTTCAGGTCGGGTTTGCAAGTTTCGATTTCAATAGTTGGATCAAAGTTGGTTGGGAGAAGCCCTTTAGCTCTCAGCTGTGATAATGTTACAGGTTTTCTGAAAACGAGATGCTGTTTTCTCTCCCCCACCCCCACCGCGTTCCTTTCTTTTCCCTCTACCCTCGCCCCTTCATCCATCCTCAAGGGTAGAAGGTTTCCTCGAATAGGTTTTGATTGGAATCACTATTTTATTTTCTTAGCATCAAGTGCTTTATAGCAAAGTCTCATCTTAGGATCACCGATATTGCCCATATTTCAAACATACACATTTGCTGTAGGCTTTCTGCCTAGTCAGTGGAGGATGGCCAAGGTAGACTGGTGGTGGCTGATTGAGAAATGCCACTTCTTTTGCGCAGAAGGAAGGAAAGTCTGAGAGAGGACAGGAAGGCTTCTCTCAGCATTCCTCAGAACTGTAGGTGTCTGAATTTTTTTACCTCTTCCACTTCCCCACCCCCACCCCCTCCCCTCCCATCTCTAATTTCAAGCCCTTGAGAAGGGTGACTGGCTCAGGAGAAACGCGGAAAGCGTACCGTTTGGGAACCGCCTTTTTTTTTTTTTTTTTTTGAGTGAGCGACCTGGCTCTTCCCTTCACCGGCTCCCTACGGACTGTGGTCTTAATCCCGGGGTGGGGGTTGGGGACAAGCGCTTTGGGTCAGACACTGCCACCCACGCCGCATTTAGCAAAGGTTCACCTGCATGAGAGAGAGCCCACGTGTGTACACAAGGCCCTGCCTCAAATTGGCCTCTTGTTCCCTTCGGGTCAGGACAACGCTATTCTCTCCCGATCCCATCCCCATTCCCCATGCCAGGATCTTTCTTTGACTCTGGAAACTAGATTCATTTGTATGCGCGAGTGTAATGCCATTTTCAGTATCTGACAACTTAATAAATATGAAAGCTAAGTACCCTTAACCGTGTGTAGTGTGGCGCCTTACCCTCTGCAGCCCCTGACTCAGAGCAGGACTGAGGCTGGAGGCTGGGCTGGAGACCCTGAGCCATGCCGGAGGCCCGCAGCTCTCGAGTTTGCTTTCACCCTCTCCAAACCTGAGCAAGTCGGGAAGGGAACCTCAATTAGGCTTTTGTTTGGTATCGTTCTACATAACGGGTTAATTACAGGCTCTACCAAGAGGGAAGAAAGAAAACAAACTTTGCATTGAAATGTTACAGTGCATTAGACATGCCCCTGATTACTTTGATTGTGGTGTCTAATTCTTGACAGAGGGGTAATAATTTGGCGGGGCAGTAATAATGGCTTGTAGTTGTTTGCTAGGAAAAACAAGAGTTCTGTCTTATCTCATAAGAGTCTTCCATGAAGGGCTCTCTACATCACCTCTCTCTCTCTCTCTCTCTCTCTCTCTCTCTCTCTCTCTCTCTCTCTCTCTCTCTCTCTCTGTCTCTCCTCTCCCTTTCTCTCTGTCTTTCGTTTCCTGGCTCGGTCTCTAATCTCTAATCACCACAGTTTCTTGACTGCTGTATTGATTCATCCACCATTTGGTTTCCCTTTTTCTCACTTGTACCTAGAAAAGCTATCAAATGAGCATGCTCAAGGGTGGCAGGTACAATGTGAATGTAGAGTTAAGCTTGAAAGTTACGTGATTATGCAAGCCCGGGTGAGATGTAAAGGATCACTGAAGTCCCTTTCCCACCACCTTTGGTGGACTCAAGTGCTTTAAGACAGAAACATGAACAGCATCAACTTTATTTAGGTTGTTTAGGTTCATAAAATGGGAGGACCGGGGCAAGACACACATCTCTGTTATCTTTCATCCTCTGGGCGCTGATTTCTGAGATTAAAGGTGTGTGTGTGTGTGTGTGTGTGTGTGTGTCTTTCTGTGTGTTGTGTTGTTGTGAGTCCATAGCTCAAACTTAAGTTATTTAGGAGAGAGTGATGAATCATTTTGATTTCACTTGCTAGAATCAAGAGGATTGTTGTCCGATGGCTGAGAATGGATTGATGGTCCCAGTTCTGGTATTATTGATGAGAAAGACATGTCTGCCCCTTCTAGCCTCCTTAGAATGTGCTCTACAAAATGAGTAGCCAACATGTCTTCTTGTTTGCCACTCACCCTTGTTCCCTTCCTCCCTTCCTCTGCATACCTCTGAGGACCCAATTTGAGCTCCCTTCTTCTAATAAAACCCCTCTTATTTGCTGTTGTCTGTGTCCCCCACTCCCTTGTTACTCTGAGTCCTTCATTCTGGATATTATGACTCATTTCCTCTAGCTTCTGAAAGCTTTTATTTGATGCAAGTGAAAACATCTAGGATGCTCCTCTTAAATCAGGGGATTCATATTGGCTCCTAGACTCTGGAAGATGAGATCATTACCCCATACAGTTTCTTCAGAACAGTAACCTATCTAATTTACTCTTTCTCTTTCTTCCCCTTTCATCAAAGGATCAATGTTTCTTAACATTAAAAAAGTTTTCTTTTAAATTAGAATCATATTTGAAGACCCCCCCTCTCAGTTGCAATAACACTTCTGGGTATTTACCATTCTGCATGTGTGTGTGTGTGTGTTTCTCAGTTGCCCGTGGACTTTTCTTGGCATTCAGCATTCAAGGGCCAACTTTGTGATGCTCTCTTGCTATTTGCCCCATCAGCTTGTTAAACTCTATTTGTTGACCTCGCTTCTGATCCTTCTTAATCCCTTTGACTGCCAGCCAAAATGACAATGTATGTTCAAACTGCCTTAGAAATACGGTGTCTTTCCTTAATGCTTTGCACTTAAAAGATACAAACAAAATTGGTCATTGATGTGGAAATTTTCTGATGCCTACTAGTTAAAATTTTTTCCCCCTAAGAAAATGAAGTGAAAAGGTTTTTAATTCATTTCACTCCTCCCCAAATAGTTGTTTATATGACACACAGCCACTTGGATTTTCAATCTCATCCCTAACATAAGTAAACTAAATAGAAGTGTTTATTTTCTTATTTGTAAAGTTCAGTTTAGTTAACTTTTGTCAAGGAGATTTATAATCCAAATTAGGCTATTTGAGTTCTATTGATTCAACTCCCCCCCCCCCTGCTAACTAACAACAAAAGCAAGTCAGATTTTCTTCAGATTTTCTTTGGATGTGTTGGAAGGCCAAGTAGTTCTCTGCCTTAAAAAAAGTTATTTAGAAAAATGGTTCCAAACCTTCCATTCTTGTTACAAATTTGTAATAAAAGCACTGACATGCGTACACTGTGACTTGGTGTTTTCAAACTCAAAGTCCTTAAGTCAGGGCGCTGCCAGAGAATCTGTTTCCTCATCTTTCCTGATTGTTGTTTTCTTGATAACCAAGCAAGCCACTGAACGGCTGTTTGAGCCCAGGCGCCACAAACGTAAACTTCACAGCTTACAATGTCCCAAGCATGATGGAGGGTCTTTCCACACCTCTCCAGAGACTTCTGAAGTGTAGACAGAGAAGCTGGTTCACAGGCATCCGAGGAGGGGGGAGGGGCGGTTGTTGTGAGCATTGTTACAAACACATCCTTTAATTTTATGACGCTTCGGACATTGGCTCGGACAAGTCAGTTTCTGAGCCTTCACGAGTACAGCCTCTTCTTGGAACACCACTTAAGACTTCTTGTTCCTGCAAATAAAATAAAATAAAAAGCAAAATTATAATGTTTATAGCTCTGCCAACACGTGAAGTAGGTATAAATGGTCTATAAAAAGAAAATATTGTTCTTTTTTTTTTTCCAGAAAGGGGGCACCCAATTGTGCCAGACAGTTGTGTGTAGTGACTGCTGTTGATCAGGCATGGCAAGAAGACACACTGACACCCCTTTTTTGTAGAGTCTGGTGCTCCCACTTAGCTTAGAGTGTTACCTATTTCTTGACTGGAATCCTTTTAGATTTTATTGATCATAAAGTTCGCGGTCATTTTTTTTTTGCGTGATGTAATTTGTGGAATTGACTTATTTCTGCATGCAGTTCTGACTATCTTCCCACGGGTGTGTTTCCTGTGTGCTGGGGGACCGGCCAGTTGTGTGGAGTGCTGGTGTGTGGGGGGGGTTCCTCACACTCGTCTAACCAGCCCCACCACTCCCACAGGCAAGTCGGCCCTTGATCCCTTAAAGGAGCGACAGTCGTCATAGCCCAGAAGAGGAAAAGGGGGGTGTTTCTGGGCCCTTCCCTTTCAGGAGTTGATCAGGTTGGCAGATCTGGAGGGCTAATCCAAACAAGGCGCTTGACTTGTGAGGTCGCGAGTCTAGACAGAGCTGGTGGCTCGGCGGCTCCTTATCTTTCCCTGGGATCAGCCGAAGAGGCGCTCCCTGGCCCACTGCACTCGGCTCCCGGGGCTCGGAGCCACCTTGCTGCGCAGACCGCACAGCAAACACAGCACCTGAGGCTTTACAGCTTGCTTTATTGTTTAATGGAGAATGCTGCAAAACATTCATTTGTCTTTGCGGCCCTATGTCGCGGCTTCTTTGTGCCACCAGCGCTGGGCGGGGGTGTCGTCCAGCTCTAGACTAAGCGGGTCCCCACCCTGGGCAGCTGTGCCACATGCCTGTGAGTGCCCTGCGCCTCTCGGTCGCCTGGTTAGAGCCCTGGGGAAACCCAGCCTCCTTCTTTTCCTTGTTTCCCTACACCCAGGAGACGGAGGATCCGAGGGACTGTGGGAGAAAGCAGTGTGAGAATCCAGTATCTTTGCTAGCTGCCTGGAAATGACAATTCTGTGCTATAGCCGTTTATGGTTTGCAGGGTCAGTGGGCGCTGACTCAAGGGCGA